ACTCTTGCTGATCACAGCCAGAATGGCCCAGCCGGCCCACAGACAGAGGGCCGCGACCTGCTGGATTCGAATCCGGTGCCCAGTAGTGGGGAGTCCGAGATGTGCAGTGTCGGCGACACCGGTGGGGAGGAGGGAGAGGTCGGAGGTCGCGAGGCCCCTGCGGAGCCCGTGCCCATAGCCGTGGTGCGGGTGAGCGGGGTGGCGGCCATGTCGTGTTCCCCCGACTGTCGCAGTCTGACGGAGAGTGACGGGCCAGATCAGCGCAGCTCACAGGACGACTACTTCTTTGACGAGGACTTCAGTGTACAGTTTGGTGGGGGCGGCCTGCACGGCTCTGTGGGGCTCACGCTGCAGGGCTCTTGTGCTTTTAGCCTGACTGACTCGCTGGCTGCAGGTGGGTTGTGTGTTGGTACATCAGATAGTTGTGTGTTGGTACATCCGATAGTTGTGTGTTGTGTGTTGGTACATCCGATAGTTGTGTGTTGTGTGTTGGTACATCAGATAGTTGTGTGTTGTGTGTTGGTACATCAGATAGTTGTGTGTTGGTACATCAGATAGTTGTGTGTTGGTACATCGGATAGTTGTGTGTTGGTACATCAGATAGTTGTGTGTTGGTACATCAGATAGTTGTTTGTTGGTACATCGGATAGTTGTGTGTTGGTACATCAGATAGTTGTGTGTTGTGTGTTGGTACATCGGATAGTTGTGTGTTGTTACATCAGATAGTTGTGTGTTGTTACATCAGATAGTTGTGTGTATGTGTGTGTTTTGGGTGTATGTGTGTGTGTTTTGTGTTTATGTGTGTAGTCTGTAGTGTGTGTATGTGTGTAGGGTGTGTGTGTTTTATGTGTGTATGTATGTGTATTTTATGTGTATGTGTGCTGTGTGTAGTGTGTGTGTGTATATGTGTGTGTTTTGTGTGTAGTGTGTGTGTGTTTTGTGTAGTGTGTGTGTGTGTGTGTGTGTGTGTGTGTGTGTGTTTTGTGTGTATGTGTTTGTAGTGTGTAGTGCGTGAGACAGTGACACGGCGTGTTGTCTCCCCCCAGGCCCCAGCGCGGACCCCCAGGACAGTCTGTGCGGGCCCCAGGCCATCCTGCCTCACTCGCTGACGGGGAGCTACACGGCTTTTGGGGCGCTCAGGGACTCCTTTCTGCAGGTTTGTATAGGGGGAGGGGAGGGGAGGGAGGGAGAGGAGATGAG